TATACATAGCGTTTAATGCATTGAGAAACATTCAGGTGGATATCATTTTGGTGAATGATCCAAGTTTTGTGTGAATCACCACTTTTCTATGCATTAAACGCTATGTATAAATTTCGAATTTTGACCATAATTCGGTCATTTCTGGCCATTCGCCGATTATCTCAAAAGAAAATACATCTACTAACCGTGCGGAACATATCCATATCAATTAGAATGGGCTACGCCACTTATCCCCTAAAATAATTCCTTTTTAAACAAAAATTTTATTGTCAACCTAGAAAAGACTTTTAGTTACTAACAATTTAGTTATAAAAGTTGATTAAAAAACTAATCTGTACCAAAATTGCAAATTGTATATTTAAAAAATTAAATTTAGTTTTTTAATAATAATAATAATAATAATAATATCTTTTTATTGGAATCATTATCAACAATAGCTGGTCTTCCTAATAATCCAATTACATTCAGTGTTTTTATATACAATACAATTTTTGAAATAAACAATTTAATTTTACATAATACTAATCACAAAAAAGTGTAAGAATTCAAAAATTCATTTATTTTAACAATTATTAATACAAAATTACATTTTATAACATGATAAAAATTATGCATACATTTAATACACACAAAATTAAAACAGTCATAGTTGTGGTAACATTAATTATAGCGCAAAGTCCGCGTACTTCTCAAATACTTTAACAAGCGACAAGGTAATCGATTTGTATTTCCCATCAGGGTACTTCTCGCCGAGTTCGCACTTGGCATCGGCTTTCACACCGAGATGTTCCTCAGCTCTGGTCACGATTGAGGGAAAGATTGAGATACGTTCGCGAGTGGACTCACGGAATCCATCTTTGTCTTCGTGCATATTCAGCACATCCTCCCAAAATTTTTTCACAATACTGTTTATAATGTGTTTAAACAATATGTTAATTATTTAATTTAACCATTATCACAGACACACAAGCAGTGTTATATTTGTTAAAGGATTATCTGAAAATTATGTTCATAACTGACATATATTATTTGAAAAGAAAATTATTTTTATTCAAAAGCCATACATGTATTTAATTAATTTTGACCAACCTTCATCCTCATGAAATAAAAATAATATCAGGATCTTATTATGTAAATCTAAACAGCATACAATAACAAAAAATGTAACGAAGGGCCTAACGATCCTATAAACCACATTCTTCATATATGAATCGTGGTTAAAAATAGTAATCTTTTTAAGTCTAAATTATTTTAATGCGAACGTTTATAAAGTCTCAACCCCCTCTACCTCGTTTGAACAGGATTACTTTGGTCGACTCCATCCTCTCCCTCAAGTGCGACTGTAATATGCGAACGACCGGTAAGGGGTTGTCCTCAAAGTACGTGCGCACTTGGGGGGAGGGGTGTCGGCCAAAACGAACTTTTGCAAACGAGTGTGAGGGGGTATAGAGACTTTGCGAACGTTCCCATTTAAATCTTTTGATGAATTTAAAGGATTTTAATAAGCTTTAATCTTGTGATAACAACTATATCTAACAACTGTTACTATTAACAACAGCTTTAATTCAAATTGATCACAAATTTAGGATAAATATAAGACTTATTTTGAATAGACATAGCTTTGGTAAGAGGGATAATCGGGACATGCTAACGTACTTTTTTTTAAAATGACTACTTGAGAACATAAGGGAAAGGGGGTCTGAATTTTATAAAAAGTGCGCAAGTACTTTGTGAACATTGCCTAATTACAATTCGGGTGATGCTTAATAAATAGATTAGCATTATCTATAGATTTAGCATTGACAATTTTAATCTTAATGTCATTGACTTAAACTGCAATTCTTAATTGTAACTATTGTTTTTATATAATTAACATTAGAGGATTCCATAGGATAAAATTAAACATAATTTCAATCTTAATAAACTTAATCATATGTCATAAACTTAATATTAGCCCATGATATAATATAACAATAGCCTTAAGCTGGAATCCCATAGAGCGGGTGGGGGGAGGTAAAGGATGGCCGACCCGATGTATAATAGAATTTTTTTTATCTGTGTTAAAAATTTAAAATTGTGTTAAAATATATAATAATATAACAATGTAAACTGTATGTTAATGTTATATATAGAATCTAAAATAAAATCCTAATCTGACATAAATAAAGATATAATATAATATCTATAATATCTTTATAATATCTAATTAAGATAGTATTAAATCTATTATAAAATGAATGTAACATTCTTATATATACAAATGACATTGTTTAAAATATATACTTTTAATCTATACACACTGACATAAAATTAAATATATATAAAAATTAAACCATACCATAGTACTTCGCCCAAATTAATTCTAGCTTGGTTGGCAGCATCGGTTAGATAACCAAGAACACGATCGCGTAGTTTTTTCGATTCCACCACTTTCGAATTGAGTATAGCGCAATATTTCAACATGGTGTCATTTTGCAGTTTGCAGTAGTTATTAACTTTCTCGTAGAACGAAATACTAGGGCTTTCCAAAATCACGTCACGGAGAATGGGTTTTAGGTAACCGACAAATTTCATGCCATGCAATACGTCCCAAAACCTAGGTGTTTTTTGAAAATGGTCAATTAGTGAATTGTTTTAATAAGTGGACGGTTTTATCATAATATTGTTGAGATATTATACTATCATTGCACACTTATGGTACTTGTCAATCAATATTATGTTTTAAGATTAATTTTAATATTTTGCTAATTTTTTTTCATTAATTTATATTTAGTTGTAGAAATGGATGCTTATATGAAACCCATAAGTTATGGGCCATAACTAACTTTATAAACTTAACATTTATACTATAATAATAAATTATTTTCAACTACTATACTGTACTAGTTTACTAAAGTTTAGTTTACATGTATATCATGTCTATTAATTTTAATTAAAACGTATATTTTGTATAAATAATTATTATAATTAATAGCAGTTTCTGATTATTTATAATTAAAATTTAATGACAAAAAAGTATTATTAATAGTAAATTCTAAATTTTAAAATTCATAAACAATGTTACTAAAGATTAACTAAAATCTGTTTGTATCTTTATTTTAAAATGTTATTAATGTCTAAATGACACAACAAAAAAAATATGTTCACTTAAATAGTTGGCCACTCTATATGTATGACAATTAAATTTAAAATTTACAAATGTAATTTAAAGTCTTTTACATAATAAGTTAATAGTGTATCTTAATGACATTTATTTAAATATGGTTAATACTTACAATTGACCACTCGTATCATTAGTAGAGCCCAATTCTTTGCATTTCGCCATAATTAGGTCCACTTTTTCAGGGCATTCGACGCCATTGCCTAACCTCTCATACTTCGGGGTCAGTTTATCGATACTCAACTCCTCCTCTTCCAGAGTGCAATGGATTACACCTTAAAGTAGATTAAGTTTAATACATATTAATAATTATGCAATCAATAGTCTCAATCACTCATCTCGCTCTCTCTCTCTCTCTCTCTCTCTCGCACAAACACACATTTTCGTAAAATTAATTAAAATATTGTTGTTTATTAAAGTAAAATTTAAATATTTGTTAAATAATTTACATACCAATTACTGTCAACACAATAAACAGTTTCATTATTAGTGATTTAATTGTTATTTCTTACAAAATAACTGATTGAATTCAAAATGGTTGTGATCTAAGAGTTCTAACTCAAGACTGAATAAAATATGTTATGTTTACTACCAGATGTTATAATTATATTAATTAATTAAAATTAAAACTAACTTAATTAAATTTTTACAACAAAATATCCAACAAATACTTTACATATTAGCACTGGTTTGCTTTTAATTAATTATAGCTTTTTATGGACTAATCTTGTTTGACATCTAAAACCAAATCCTTTAGAGTAGCTGCAATAGACTATACTTTGTCTTCGTGCATATTCAGCACATCCTCCCAAAATTTTTAAAATTATTGACCTTATTTTAATAAGTATATTA